GAGCAGACCAACCTTTACTGGCTTCCTTAATTATTACATGTACTTGCTCTGAAAACATAGCTTTTACAATTGTTTAAATTAACAGATGTTGTTCTATGTACAATGAATACATTTTAAATAATAAACCTTACTGTATTAATAAAAAATTGTATTTGACAACATGAGAATGATTCTGATGCCCAGTGGTGATGTTGAAACAAACCCAGGTCCTGGTAATATACTAAGACCTGATTAACAAAGAAGTCATGTACATCAAGGTTCACTCAGATTTATGAATGCAGTTTCTTGAGCAAGTATACATGTATGACAAATAGTTTTGTTGCACTTGTGTACTCTGAGATTCTGAACATGGGTCAGTGGAAGTTTTTAGTTGTCAGTACAAAACTAGATTATGGGAAATCACTTTATGATGAGTTGTACCCACATAGAGTACATATTCATTCACCTGTTTGCAGATGTTCCTTGTACTACTTTATAATCAAATAACGGGGACTGTGACATTTCATGTCTTGTTCTTCAGATGACCAGTTTATTTTTTAAAAACAACTAATTTTTTTATTTAAAAAAAATCATGCCGTTTTTGCATCAAAATCCAAGCCAAAATATCGTACTACAACATCAATCTCTTCCGCATTGCGTTCAATAACATTAACATATTTAAATTAGCTATGGTAATTTGAACACGTTGGCATCATCCAGCTTTTTGATTTGTTAATTAGCGATTTGACCTATTTGACCTAAGAGAACATGGCGGATATCCTACAGCATCAAACGTTTATACGAGACCGGAATCATTCGCTTACGATGAAACTAAGTTGACTTTTATTTGTATTTCATAACCATTCAACAAATTTATTTTGTGTACATTATTATAATCACTACTGAGTACAGTAATAATCAACAATTCAGAAACGCAGCATGCCGAGATTTTTGTGTTCGATTTTATTTGAAACTTCGTTTATTTAGAATATATTTTCGTTACCAATAAAATAAAAATCTCTCAGTCAATCAGAAACCCGGATTCATGCCTTCGAGGAAGGTCCCGTTTGAACGCCTCACATCGTTTTTTTTTCGTTTGGGGGAAAACTAAAACTGGTCGCAATTTTCGAATAAGATGAGTCGACATTTTTAGTGGAGTTGAAATTTGGAGGTAATAAAACACCGAAACCCGGCAATAATAGCGGACGATTTTAGAGGGTCGAA